ATATTTTTTTATACAACCTTGGAAAGGCATCCTGGTTAGATAGGGTGGCCCCTTCATATGAGGTTTGAGGGATTGAACCACCGCATGCTCATTATTTTTGAACCCCCTTAAAAAAGAAAAAAGAGCTATATGTTTTCCTAAATAAAAGACGAGCATTAAAAATGGGATGGTGGCATTTGAGGGGGTTCAATCCTCCATTTTGAAGCCCAATAACCATAAAATATTAGCCAAAATAGCTGTTAGGCAATTTTTTATTAATTAGGCATAATATTACCTATATATAGAACATATATAGGGTGTACACCTGCGTTGGATGAAACTTGCCTTGCCTTGCTGGTGAGGCCGAGTAACTCGGCCGAGGCCAGGTGGACTCCGCTGAGTCAAGGAACACTGGTTCAGATTGATGGATTTTAGTATTGATGCTTTCAATTTTCCATTATACAAATAATGGAAAATGTGATTGGGATGTGCAGCTAAAGTTTGTACTGTATGATATCACTGTCATGACCAAACGATGAAGTCAATGCATCAATCAATTTTATTGTCATGAATCTCTATCAACCACTGAAATTGTGTGTCTTGCAGCAATTCTTGAAGGAAATACTTAATGAACTTTGCATTTACAACAAGAGGGGACCTCATCAAGGAACTTACGAGCTCAAGCCGGAATATAAGAAATCAGCAGAAGAAGCAGATGCAGAATAGAACCCCATCTTTTTAATTGGACGTTCCATGTGAAAGAACCCCCTTCTTGTGAATATTCTGTTTCTAATTGACCCAAGTAGTTTCTATAGTTGGAAATCAAACAAGGATATAGGAAGAGTGGGAGTTGTGAATCTGATCACTCTACCCTCCTTAGGAGCTATTATGCTAGTTGGTTTTGGATTTTGTCTTCTGACATCGACCATTGTCTTCGTGCATTTCCTCCCCGGGAAATTCGCTAAAGAGTTCAAATGCAAAATCTCTGTCTCTCTCATACCTTGAAGCTCTGCTACCCGGTTAGGTTGGCAGCTACATTAATTTCTATTAGCAATATTTTTTTGGGTGAGTTTTATACGAGGTCCCACAAGCTTAGCTCTAGAATTTGTCGAAAGATGTAGTTTAGGTTTTAAAACCTTATGGTTGTTTGAAAATCCATGTTCAAGTCTAATTATAACATTTTAAATTTCAAAAGCATTATAGATCACGGAGGTCTATATGTAATTGAAACTCTTGGAAATAGATGATTTTGATTTCTTTTTTCTTTAGATCAATACATATGGAGATCACGACGATCAATTGAAAAGTTTTCCAACTTAGGGGCAGTCTTGTCTATTAGATTTTGAGATGCACCTTAATTTTATAACCGGACTTTGTTTTTTTCTATTATATGAAGTTTCGGAACATCATAAATACCCCCAAAAAAATTCACCATTTCAAAGGCTAACTACTTTTTTAGACCTGTCAAGGAGCATCAAGATTCTAAATTAACCTCTAAAAACCCCCGTATAATGCGACGCCTCTCATTTTTTAGTTCTCTCCAATCTTGATTCATATATTCCACAAGCCCTCTAACCCGCCATGGCTTTATCTTCTCTACTTCAAGTCATTTGGGACCTTGGTAGGAATGGAATTATGGACTTACTTCTTTCCTCTCTCCGAGTAGTAATTTGGGACCCTGGTAGAAATGAAAATCTATGCTTTCTTCTCTTTCTCTCCTTTTTATTTATTTAGATAATTTGGAACTTCCCCTTTTTTTTTTCCTTTTTTTTATAGACAATTTGGAAGTTCTGTAGGAACGAAGCACAAGGTGTCTGCCACCCTGGCCAACCGGGGCCATTATTTCTTACTCTTCTCTCTTCTATTATTTTTCAATGTTCGAAAGACCCAGCGTTTGGTTTTTCCACGAGTTTTGGTTTTATAAGTTCTCTGCATGGATTCGGTTTTAGCTGCACGGCCATAAGCCAAAACAAGAAGCTAAAAATGGTACACCTAAATTTTATCACTCCCCACTCATCTATATCTAACAATGTAAAATGCACGCACCCCTAAGTTAAGCATTTACAGGAAAAAAAGAGTTGGTGTTTTTTTAACAATATTATGAGCTTTTATTTATAAGTTGCTTCGCAAGCATCGATTACCAAGCAGGGATCAAAGCATCAAATACAGAAAAGAGACTCCATGTTTAGCAAGACGATCCGCTTGGCTTCATGGAAGATATGGGTAAAGGAAAAATGTAGCCTAGGATAGGAGCACAGGTCCATGATTTTAAGCCAAAAGGTCTGAAAAGTCCATGAAATTTTTTCCTCCATCAGGCACCATTTGATCAAGGAGTCACCTTCAACAAGGATAGCACCCGAAATTCCTTTGCTGACAATGGTTTCTAAACCATGAAGGAGAGAAACTATCTCATCCAGCATAAGAGAAGATTATAGACCCCGAATGATCCTTGAGAATTCCATCCACTCCAGCTGGTCCGGGTTCCCAGGAGAGCTACTATTAAAGTTTAATTTGAAAGTGAAGTGCCTTCTAGAGGAGGCATCCAAGAGGGAACCATCTTATATTTAGACACAAAAGAGTAAACAAGAACTTTCAAATTAACATAAATACAGAGACCTCATCAAAAGTTCTTTTATTTCTTTCCAACCAAATATGCTAGATAATAGCACTTCTAAGTATCTTCTAGATAAGAATACCTTTAGAAGGTAAGGAGGGGATATGAAGATGGGTAATAATAGAAATTAGATTGGTAAGGAGCGTCAAAGAGAAACCCAGCCACTTGAAAGTCTATTTCCAAATAGACTACAGAATAGGGGCAATGTAGAAAGAGGTGACAACCCGTTTCTTTCGCACCCTTACACATAAGACACACATGAAGAAGGATTTTGCTTTGAATGCGAAGAATGTCTACAGTAAAGCACTTTCTATAAAGGGCTACCCAAAGAAAGGATTGAATCTTTATCGGGATAGGCCATTTCCAGATTGCATGAATGTTCTCAAAAAACCATATAACACGATCGAGGAAGATAAGTTGATATGCAGTTTTGTCTGAGGATTCCCAAACGATCTTATCCTCCCTATTCGGTGAAATATAGACATTTCCAGCAATAGAAAGAGGTTTTGAAGTTGCAAGATCACTCGGTCAGGCAGCCTATTATAAGAGCAAGTAATGTTCGAGACGATGTCACCTGAAGGATTGCGAGAAAATAAATCCGCAATCCTTGCAGTAGGAGAAGAAACCAAAGAAAAAAAAAGAGGAAAAAGTTGCAAAAGAGAACTATCACCATGCCGCCTATTGAACTAGACCCCCACCTCTTTCGATAAGATGAGAAATATGATCGAGACCATACTTTGCAACTAGGACTTCAATCCAAAGGTGGTTTGGGCCGGGACAGGTCTCCACCGCCACTTGGAAAGGAGCACCCAGTTCATGTATTTTGGTCTTCGGATACCCAGTCCACCCTTATTAATCGGGGAGCAGATTTTATCCCAACTCACCAGATCAAATTTCATGTGGTCAATATCATAGGAACCCCAAATAAAATTCCACATATATCTCTCAATAATTTTTATAACATCACCAGGCATTTGAAGGATAGATATTAAGTAAATGGGCAATTTGCATAAGTGGGTTTAACAAGAGAAATACAACATCCCAAAGATAAAGTTTTGGTTTTCTAAAGATCAAACTTAACTTGGTATCTATGGATGAGAGGGTCCCATGCCACCCGAAAAACTGTTGAATCTAAGATATTGACCCCTATTTTTTTTTTTTAATCCTGAATTTTAAATGAGGTTTCGCTCTATAATTTCTCTAAGTTCTCTTGGTTTTGACCAGTGTTTGTAAAATTGGGAGGTTTAATCAGAATTGGTCATTAGCTGGCTCCGGTTTCTACCGGTTTTGGTGATCAGACTGGGTATTTTATAAAAAAATTTAAAAAAACTTATATAAAATCCCAAGAACAAAAAGGATTTGTTTGTAATGGGTTTATGAATGTTTTTCAACTTTTGTACAAAGATTAGAAATCTTTTTGGCCATTATTTACTTTTACATGTGTCCATCTGTTTTAAAAAATTCAAAAATACTCTTGAACACAAATTGATTTTTTAAAATCCATTTTTTTCAACTAATTTTCAACTTCATTTGGATGTACTTTGTTTAATCATGCTTTAAATATATATTTCATATATTTTTTAATTTGTTTTTGTATTTTTTTTGTATTTTTTAGCACTTTGTTAACCAGACGGGGCTCTCCTAGTTGAGCCGGTTGACCACTTAATACCAAGTATCCGGTACTGAGCCTTTGGCCGGTTTTCCAAGACCGGTTCGATTTTTCGAACACTAATTTTGACTGCAATTATCTTTGCTCTAATGAAGACTCTGCCTCATAGCCAAACATATGGTAGATTTTTCATAGGCCACATTGGAAGTATCTTTTTGTTCATTTACAGAATGAAGATCATTAACTATGATGTTCATACTTGTATTTTCGGGCGTGGACTTGTTGCAAAATGACTTCATTGGAAGTTACCTCTCCAATATTTCTCAACTTAAAGTAAGTATTTCATGGGTGTAGTCTGGTATTTCAACATATTAATTTAGAAAAGTTGACTTGGCACAGAGTTGGGGAGTGTAGTCTGGTATTTATGAGGTTAAAATTTGGTTCAATAGGTTATGTAGTGCATGAAATTCTAAAGAATGGCACCTTGAGGTAAGGATGGTAGTTTTAAGCAGTTATATATAGGTGTGGTTTGAGGTTCCACCTTAAATTCAAGAAAAAAAGTTGCAATACTCTTCACAAACATTTTATTTGGACGGTGTCGATTTGACGTATTTTTACGATAATGTCAACAATACATGACACATCTTTTAAGATAGTGCCTAATCTACGCTGCTTGCCCTCTTGATTTCACTGCTAACGACTAAAGGTAATGATAATTGTGATCTAATTTGAACGCTCTATTTTATTATATATGATAATAGAAAAAGTTTACATAAGGTTACAATATTATTTGATGAAATAAGGTTGTAATAATCTACACCAGCTCAAAATCCAAAAAGATTTTTTCAAACATTGTGACTCACCCTTAGCCACAAGATTCGCATTTAACAATTAGGATGTTATGATCTTCTTGCACTAAAGATAAGGGAAAAAAATATATGAGGTGTTAACCTTAGAGTGACGAAGTAAGGTGCACCATAGAAATCCACCCACAAAGGTGGTTCAAATGTAAAAAGAACAAAATCTTTCAATTGAGCATCTCGATTTTGAGATACATAGATATCAAAATAAAAAATATTTCAATCCATTTTATAGCTTTAAATTTCATAATTGGAATTGGAAATAGATTTTAAGGTTATCATAGGAGTTTTCGGCACTCTATGAATGTGCAAAAATGGATTCATTGATAATATTTTTTTATTGTATTAGTACCATTTTGTAAACTAAAAAAATCTTACAGTCCGTCATAGTACCATTTTTTGTTTTAAGGGCAAGCTTTCTATGTTTCCTCTACAACATAAAACTTATATACTTCCCCATATCCAACCCTCCATTCTGAATGGAGGGTTAAGATTTTCCCAATCACAATGTCACGTCTGTACACTATTTTATTTTAATTTTTTTTATATAAAATATTTTGACACCAAATTTTGTTAAACTCGTACTAGTGAAAAATATTAAAAAAATATTTCTAATAAAATAAAATAACCAAAATACCCTTGAAAGTTTTGAGAGGTATTTTGGTCATTATATTTTATCGAAAAATTATTTTTAATAGGTGCGCCCTAAAGAAAAGATGGCACGTACAAAATTTCATATTCATACAATTTGTATAAGAAAAACTAAAAATAAAATACTTTGAGATGTTGGATCTAAGATCAAACAGTGAGTTGCTATCTTGATCAAAATTAGATGGCTGAATGGTAGGGGAAGCATAAATCTTCTATGCTCTAGGGGAAGTATAGAAACCTTTCCCTTGTTTTAACGACGGCTCTTTTGGTTAACAAGAAAGCTTATTAGCATGCGACCTCTTGTCCTAACCTTTACCTTATTGGCACACAGCTAGACAAAA